TCACCAAAAATAATCTAAATCTGACTTGTATTATTCTATTTAAGGCAGTGTATTACATATGCCTGTACCTTGCTTCAAAAGCAGACATTCATTTTACAGAATGAGGTAACTATTTGGGCATTTTGACATGATTCATGGTCACTAACCTAATTCCAATCATGTGGGTTATTTACCAAGCAAGTTTTGAAAATATAATATTGCACTTTCAACAAACTATCTTCACACCATCGTTCTTCACACTACTTGGAAAACAATTACTGTACCATATTGGGAAATGATCAGGCATCACGAAAGAAGCTACATAATCAATATTACCGGTAGTGTTTTTAAGAAGAACCCAAATTATTTTTCAAGGTATAGAACCAGAAATCACTAAATATATGAATCTAGTATCTAAAAAGTACACAATCTACTTTGGATAAGATCAAGCAAAATTCGTAATTTCAGCTGTAGTGACCCCTTAAAACAAAAGTGGATAATAAATATCTTCGTATTCCGTAAGTACTGCATACTACCTTGGAGAGCTCAAGGCACAACGATTATTTCCATGGTATTTTTCATAAGGAAAGTTCCCATTAAAATCATAAGCATTTTTCATAAACAAAATATACCTGTACTGTTAAGCATCAATTGTTAACAATATAAACATTTTAATTGGGCAACACTGAGATCAGGACGAATCTGTTTAGTCAGACAAACAGATCCGTTAAACTGAATGGACACTTTAAATCCTCATTTAAATCCTCTGATTTAGGACATCGTTCAATCCTAAGGCTAGGTTTGCATCCAGCCCTTTTATCACTGTTACTTGCATTTTTTTTCCCAATAAGCTTAAAACTCACCAGATTGTTAATAGAGTTTTTTTTATAAGCCCTTCAGATTAAAAGGCAATCGTGACTAAGCATTAGGGTAGCCTCTGCATAAAACAAGAGAAGGTTAAGTGCCCGGGCTAGCTACGTCAGCCCTATCCTTTATTTCACTCACTACTACGGTATTCTTGCTTCGCTCCGGGCAAAACACTCTCTTCTCCTCTGGAAGTGTGCACGGTTTACAAATTAAAGACGCCCTGCGAAAACTCACGGTCAAGAAACGCAGCACGTATCAACTCCCCCTTTTTTTTAAATAAAAACAAAAAAAAACCAACACCGCTATTTCCTTAACAGGAGGGGAAACAGGATGGGAAAATGCTCCACTGGCTCGGGAGAGGAACATCTGTAAAGGAGTGTGGATTCCTAGAGTCGGTCACCTTCCCTCCCTTCCTCCGTCCGTCTCCAGGACGAGCCGGGCTACTGGAAGAGATGGCGGAGGCGGCCCTTCGGCTGCGCGTCTCCGCACCCCTTTCCGAGGAAAAAGCCGCTCCCTTAGCAACCACCTGCAATAGGTTCTCAAGCCGTCATCCCTGTCCTCCGCTGCGGCCTTACAAGCCTCCTCCTCCTCCTCCTAACTTTGTTCTCGCCCCTCACCATCCGCTGAGGAGGCCCGAACCTCAACCAGGCCTCGGCCTCACTCACCGTGAGGCAGCACAACAGCGGCGGCGGCGGCAGCAACGGTGGCGCCTTTTAGCCTCTCCCCACACAAGACACACCACCCAACTCAAATTAAGGGCGCACTGGAGCGCCTTGCGGCCGCTGCATTTTATAGAGTTGGGGGCGGAGCGGACCCGAACCGAGGGCCCAATCGTTGTCCCCGCCCCCTTCCACTCACGGCGCTGGGTAGGTCGTTTGAGTGCCTGCGCTGGACGACTCAGCAGGCATCGCGCGCGCCCCCTCTCCGCTTCATCATAGTGGACTGCGGAGGGACCGAGAGGGGAATAACCAAATGTATATAAAAAGGAAGAAGGAGACCCTTAAACGTATTTAGATATTTAAGTATCTCGGGGTCCTTCAGGCAGAATCGGAAGTTGCCGGTACGAGCCCGCTCATAAGGGTGGCGACGGTTTTACGTCATAATAGAAAGGACGGTTTCTCGTTTATTCTGAGCGACATACTTATATTCCCTTCTCATTTCCCTGTTGTAGTTGGACAATTACGTAATTCATGTCTGATAATCCTGGGTGCTGTGTGAATCCAGCTCCTTATGGTTATTATTCCGTGGGGTTATTTGCCACACACACAAGATGTTAAGTAATTGATAAAGACAGAGAAATTGAAATAGGAAGAAGATATAAAGCAGTTCATTGCTGCCGAGGAAATTAAATTTACTATGTTACAGTTATATGTGTGTGTCCACAAATTCATCAGACGTTTCAACGAACCCTTGGATTATAAGTGAATCAGTCCAAGTATGTTTTCCACATGTAATCATTGGTAAGAAACTACATCATCCAAACATTGGCACATGCTCTACATCAGTGTTTCTCAACCTTGACAATTTTAAGGCATGTGGACTTCAACTCCCAGAATTCCACAGCCAGCAATGCTGGCTGTGGAATTCTGGGAGTTGAAGTCCACATGCCTTAAAATTGTCAAGGTTGAGAAACACTGCTCTACATCTATTGTTTCATATCAAGTAAGATGTTAGTCGCCATTACCCAGAGCTAGGAGAATTATTCAGGTTGTTTCTTTAGCAAGAATACAAAATTGATGTATTAGTTATTCACCCTCTCCCCCCCCCAAAAAAAGTTTTATTTTAACAGCATAGATGTTTGAAAGAAGCGTAGAAAGGGGCCTGCTTATATAATAGCATTACATTTACTCCTGGCACAATAAAATTTCAAATGGTACATTACGTTTTCTCCTCCTCACCCCCCTCACCCCAATAAATATAATTTTGAGAGGAGCATCTATTGAAAGACTATTTCCAAATCAAGGAGCAGATTCAATTCTCTAATACTAAGCCAGTGTTGTTTGGAATCGGAGGTCTCTTACCACTTAAACCAACGTTTAAATTAGCTCTTAAGCAAAGCAAAAACTACCCCCAAAAACAGTCCTAAACTACCTCAGATGAATGCCATATGATGTTTGATATTGTTTGACAGCAATATCACAATTTATGTCCTTACTACTCCCTCTCACTTTTATACATCAGTCATAAGACAGAAAACCTTTTTGTTCCAAGCTGGAAAATCTCACCTCTGTTGCTTGATAAATATAGTGCATATTAGTGTCATCAAACACCACCTTCTAATATTTGTAGAAGTAGAGTGCTCAATCTTCGAGCATTAAATTTCCTTAGGCATATGGAGTGAACTGCAGCAAAAAGACAAGTCCAGATAGATCTAGAAGTATTATAAACCCAATACAAGGGATAGCAATCGCTGCCAGCCAGTGAAATACTTAGCCCAGATATTGATGAAAATAATCCGATTCCCCCCATCACCAGCACCATCTGGTATAATATAACCCTTGTTTAGCAACTGCCCTGTTTAGCATAAACTGCATTTATGATGATGAAGATAATTTTGCAAGCAATCCTTGGTTCTATGACCTTCGCAGCCCTGTGAAGCAAAGAGAAGTTGAAGTGAGTCCAGAAGCAGTCCCAATTACACTTAGCAACCACTTAACAATTGAGTTGTTAGGTCACTAAACAAGGATTACTTGTAAGTAAAATCGCCTTTGAATTAAGCATGAGCTGAACAATTTATATTGGTATCTCCATGGATTCTCATTGAGTTAGTTTTGTCTTACCACCTTTTTTCAGGATGTTTTCCAAGTTCCTGAACAAACCAACTCTATACGGTACTTCCTAGATGTTTCCTAATTAGCTTTCTAGATAAGCCAAAGTTGGCTAGATACTACCCCCCCAAAAAAAAAATTAAAAGGATTTACCTATGACTTCCTTTCTGGCCATGCTAACTATATTTTCAAAACATGACTCTTTAAAACAAGTTAAGAGTATTAAAACATGTTAAAGGCTAACAGACCTATCATATGAACTTTCATAGATCATAATCAACTTGTTAGGTTTATTAAATACCATTAAATTGCCCACTGTTTTGTGATGTAAATGACTAGGTATGATGTGTTTTCCTATTAGTATGTTAACATAGAAGTATAAAATAGTCCATACTTTATTATGTTCAAGTTATTCTAAACATTTACTACCTGTTTTTTCAGCTGAACAATTTTAAACAATGATTCTTCTGCATAATAGGCTCACAAGACCAGTGAATAGGTCTTTTCTTTTTCAAAAGAACAATTTCAACTTTCTCTTACACTTCCAGAAACCATATTTAACTAAGGACAGTAACTTGCTTAGAAAAATGTCTTAAAAGCAGCCAATTAGACAATGGAAATCCAAGAAGCAGCAGGGTGATTTCCACTTTGAGAAGCTTCTCCAATCATCATGGCATAAGAATTGCAATCATGAAAGTTACTATATTTAAAATTGGGTAACATACTTTACATGGAAACATTTTCTAATAATCTGTGCTTAAATATGGGATCATGTGGAGAAAAGATGATGCAAAATGAAGTTGCAGTATATTATTCAGTTAAAACAGTGCAAGAAAAATGAAATTGTTCAAACTAGTGTTTCATCTGGCTAATTCACAGAAAAACCTGGCCACTTTCAGCTTATTACTTATGGTTTTTTTCTTACCAGTATTTTAGTTGGCATCAACTTTCTATTTGAAGATATTTTTTTTAATATTTGGAGTTAAATTTCTATTTGGAGTTAAATTTCTATTAAAATGAATATTCTAGTAAACTGACACTAGGGGGAAATGAAGAGTAATAATGGTACTGATAGTATTTCTTTATAATAGTTGTCCCTTTTTTGTTTTTTGTAACAAGAAAAGCTCAATTTTTGAAATTTTTCCAGGAAAAGGAAACTGAAAAGTCTCTCTATAAATTTATAGTTATATATGTAGACTTAAAAATGCCTTGGCTGGGAATTACAAAAGCAATTTTTCCAGCTTCTGAACAGCAACCCTTGCTACAAGGCCAACTACTTGAAATTGAAGGTATCAGCCCACTTCATTCCATGAAAAAGTTTTAAGAATCACGAAGTATGCACAACACTTTAACATGCCCTGTGCACATAAGGACTTTTCTTCCAACTTCATTATTCTGTTACTACTTTATTGAATGGTAAGTAAAAACACTAGTTACAAAGGAAGAGGAAATCACTGTTAATACATGTTTTGATTTTCACATTTGAGACAATCAGTTACAGGTGGCTTGTTGGTATATCCCCATTGTTACACTATTTCCATCATCATTCAACAAATGTGTGATACCAACAATTACAAGTAAGAATTTAACTTCCATCGTAATAGGCTCATTTTTCCTAGCTATTTAAATATCCCAAGTTCTGGGATCAGAATATATTAAACAAGTATTTGGAGTATTTAGCCTATGACTTATTCACTGCCTTCTGCTCAAACTGAGGGAAAGTAAGCTGCCCAAGAGAGTCATAATGTGTATGAGAGACTGTTACTACTAAGAATGGGTTACAGAGTATTGAGATTGATTTATGATCTCTCACCAGTTCCTCTCCATTCTTCATTCAGTAGCACAGAAGCAGTAACCTCATATTCTTTTGCTTAAAAGTATAAAAAGAAACTTCATCAGGAACATTGAGGATATATAATTTTTAAGACTATGCTTAGGTGAAGTTAGATTTAACTTCACAATCGAAGCTTTTCCACTTTAAATATAGAATTAAATGTCAGAAGATCTGTTTCACAGAATAGTATTTGACAAATGCTAATATAATTATGGCAGTAATTATTTGCCTTCCTAATACATCACAGATTACCAAATCTGATCCTTAGATTTTGATTTTTACGTACTGTAATATGTTTCCTGAACTCAGTATTGTTTGGGTCCTTCAAAGGTTCAAAGAGACATAAAAGCTATTTTTTTATTAAATACATCATGATATGTGCTTGCAATACATTTTAAAGTCAACCATCTTCCAAACTTAGTTCACAAGTTTATTATGAAAAATGCTGCAACACTCTCCAGCAGCAACGTCTTACAGAAATAAATTGTTCTTTCAAACTAATTCACTATGATGAACACATACATGGGACACTTTGTAGAGGAAAAGTGTGAGAGAAAAATGAGGTGGGAACAGAGTTCAGATGAAACAATAAGACAATTAAATTAAACTGTTTCCCTAAAAAACAAAATAAGAACACAAATAAGAAAAGTCAGTCTTGGTGCTTATTTAAAATGTTCATTAAGCTTCAATGATAGTTTGCTATTCTTATCTACAATCATGCTGGAAAGCTAAAGCTAAATGGAAAGTTACTTGTAATTCACGAAGTGTTTAAATGTCTACGTATTAATATTTGCAGTCTCTCAGAGAAAGCAAAAGTAACTACAAGTAGAACTATGCCAGAAACTGATTTCTTGACCAACAATGTTGCTTCAAGCATGCAATGAACTGGTTCATTCTAAAGTGGTCACAGTCGCTGACAGACAAGAGGCTTTGAATTTCAATATGGCACATCTTTTGGTCCATGTGAAAACGGGTTTCAATGTTAAAATGTTTTCTGACACTTTGGAGTTACTGTTGCTCTTCCCATGTTCCTTTAGGTCAACACATGGTTCATGGCAATACTGTACAAGTGGAAAATCTCATTACAGAAAGTAATCTGGGGTGCGACGAGTAACATGTGGTTCACCTCTGCGTGGTGCTGGATCAAACTGCAAACTGAAAGAGAGAATTAGAATTTGTTGATCTCCTGATGTTTTTAAAATAATCTGTAATATACTTCATACTGTTTGAAATTTCAAAAAATACTTCAGAATAATTTCTTCAGGACAGAGAAGCTTCCCTATAATGCCACTAATTATAGTAGTAGTAGTAGTAGTAGTAGTAGTAGTAGTAGTAGTAGTAGTAGTAGTAGTAGTAAAGTTGGAAGAGACCTTGGAGGTCATCTAGTCCAACCCCCTGCTCAGGCAGGAAACCCTATACCAGTGGTGACAAACCTATGGCACCCATGCCAGAGGTGGCACTCGGAGCCCTCTTTGTGGGCACACACACCGTTGCCCCAGCCCGCCTCCCCCACAACCCCCTCACCAGCAGCCTGCCCAGAGGAAAGGCTCCCCCAGACGCGGCCCACACAGAGCAGTGCAGGCAAGCACATGGCAGCCAGGCAGCAGGGGCACGACTCTGCCCTCGCACCCCATCATGTGCAGATGATGCTGTGGAGTGCGGGCAGAGGGCATGGCCGCCATGGCGCTGTAAGGCTGCCTGGGCGATCTGTGATGAGTGGCCCTGCGGGTGGGCGGAACAGGGAGCAGAGCGGGGGCTGGCTGGGGGGGCCGGGCCAGTTTTTGGGCACTCAGTCTCTAAAAGGTTCGCCTATACCATTTCAGACAAATGGCTGTCCAGTCTCTTCTTAAAAACTTCCAGTGTTGGAGCATTCACCACTTATGGAGGCAGGTTGGTCCACTGGTTAATTGTTCTAATTGTCAGGAAGTTTCTCCTTAGTTCTAGGTTGCTTTTCTCCTTGATTAGTTTGTGGCAAAGTAAATGGCAGGAGCCAGTTTGGGAGAAAAAGAATTTCCAAAGGAAGCTCTATTCAGGCACAGAATTAATGTCTTGTCATTCACTGAATTTACACAAAAAACAATTCAACCTATTTGTGTGAATCTTAGAAGTAAAAAGATTCCTCAACATACATAGTATTAATATAACAGAAGCAAGTATTTCTTAACGTAATTTAGGTCTTAAACGTCAAAGAACCTATCCAGAAAAAAATTAAGAAGGATTGCTGTTAAGTTTTTATGAATTTCATGAATCAATGAGTACCCCCTGAAATATCCAAACTGAAATGTTTTTTATTTTAAAACTATGCAAATTTAAAATAAATTTGATATTCCACAAATAATCTCTTCTGAAATACCTGGCAAGACCAGATCAAGCAACAGTGCATATTTATTTCGAGCACAGATGACTTTTTTTCTGAGAAAGCTTTAACTAGGAAGTATAAATAATGCACTTTGGTCACTCTCATAGAAATATTTTTAAAATACTTACAATGAGTATTTTAGAGTATCATCAAGCTCCATAATTGCAGCTTGGTTACCACAACGGTAACAATAATTTGGAGCACTAAAAATTGTTACTACATTCCGATCATGACACCAGTTGTATCCCTGAAAAAAGAAAATATGTAATTTTAATAAGAATCCCTGCAGATAATATAAGCTGTAGTTATAAATAAAATATATTACTGCATTAAAATATATCAGGGTATGATCTGGGTTTGTTTTAAATGTCTCAAAAGAGTTTAGAGCAGGTCAAAACAAGCTTACCTCCATTACCAGCTGATGAGCCCTTGAAACCAATGTAAGACCATTAGCATGGTTGAAAGTTTCTGAAATGTCTTGTCCAAAAGTATAGCCAGCTCCTCGAGGAGAAATACCCCAGCCACCCCGGTCATCAGGATCTGACCACAGCAAATCACACATTGGACCCTAGGAAATATTTCAGCATTATGATTTAGCCTTTAAAAACGAAAATGCCTAATACAACGTAGGGAAACTTTCAAAATAGCAATTGGAATGGCTAAATATTTTAGAATAGTACGCTTTTATCCAGTGCTAATGGTAAACATTATAGTAAAAAATACTAGAAATCCAGAATTTCTGTATTGCTACGTTCCCTACACCTGGGCATTCTTAGGAATTCAATTATAGCTACTTTTCAGCTACAGCTGAATTCAACTAAAGCTAATTTTAGTGAACAACAATACTGTAAGACATAACAATACTGAAAGGCATTGTGGCAATGAATGTACTTCTGGGAAGAAAAACCCGCCAGCATCTCCTTGCCCACACACTAGCCATCTATAGAAAGAAGTTTCTTTCAGAATGGTGAAAATATAACTCAGAACAGTGAAAATTAGATAAACACTGTAAGTTTGAGTTGTGACTGCCAACACTAGCAGTCACTTTACCTAACTGGTTTACTTCTTCACTCCAAGGTAGTAAAAATTGAGTGAAGTTCATTCTTCTGTAACACAGTATAGAAATCAAGGCTAGATGATTTCTCAGAAATATGAGAAATTCATAATCAAAATCTATTTTACTTCATTCTTATAGACCATTATCTGTAGCAATAAGACACTCTATGTAACACTTATTTCGTGTCTTTTAACCACTGGAATCTTTGTTCCATCAGAGAAACTAGCAAAATCACCTCATTTTCTACATAATTTTCCATCTCTTAGCTGTTTTGAAAAGTCCCTCAACCAACATTGGAGTACATGGGGCTTGTAAAACAATTTATCTCTGTATTCTGCTGATACCCCTTCTCAATAAAAGAGCACTGGACACAAATATTTAAATGCTGACAATCATAAGATTTATTTAGCAAGATTGTCGGGGATATGTAATAATAGTACCCAGAGAATTTTGCAACACATTGGTAACCTGTAAGAGAACTAACCAATTCTGATGAATTTAAAATTAGAGCCAGGGTATTAACTTTTAATTCTATATAATTCTGAATCCACCATTATGAAGGTTAAAGAAAGATTATGTTACTAGATTGGGGAGATTATTGTCTTTCCAATATTGCTGAACTACAATTCGGGATATGGATTTGGATGAGGGGATAGATGGGGAATTTATCAAATTTGCAGACGACACAAAGCTGGCAGGAATAGCCAACACTCCAGAAGACAGGCTTAAGAAACAGGAGGATCTTGACAGACTTGAACACTGGGTGCTATCTAACAAAATGAAATTCAATGGTGAAAAAAGTAAGGTTTTACATTTAGGCAAGAAAAACCAAATGCACAGGTACAGTATAAGTGGTACCTTGCTCAATAGTAGTAACTGTGAGGAGTAGTAGTAGTAGTAGTAGTAGTAGTAGTAGTAGTAGTAGTAGTAGTAGTAGTAGTTATTTCCTTTAATTTGCTCTTGTTAATTGATATTCAGCAACAAGGAGAGTGCAACGAATTCTCTACTTGTGGACTGATTCCCTATCAAGTCAGGAATTTAAATACTTAGGTCTTTCCTCCTAGATTGAAATTCTGTGTCTCTTAGGGTTCCACAAACTCCGTAATCAGTTAATACATTAAAATCAGATGTAACAGTAGACAGCAATTTTAAAAAGTAATTTTAGAAGGAACCCAAATCATTTCAACAATTAAAGCATTAAAATTAATGGCGTGAAATGAAATGTTTATGGCCAACTCAGGACTCTTCAGTAATTTGAAGAGTACCGACTTCTGGAGAATAATAACAGACTGAAGATGGCTATGCAAAAAGTGACGCCCATGACCACAGAAGAATGAAGAGCCACCAAGCAGACTGATTCTCCAATAATTTTTCTTCAGACAAGGAAAGGACTTGAGATCACCCACAAGTGCTCCAGGAAACGGTCTCTGGTGGGTTTAGATCTCTGGGAGACAAGGGAATAGCTGTCATGCTCAAACCTCAACTCTCAATCTGTGCTTTTCAAAGGACACTTAAGTTTGCCTACTTCCTTTTCTAATCATTTTGCTTGTTAACTGCTTTTCATCTGTTAGGAACCTTTGGATCAACAAGTCTGAAAATACTAGTGAGTTTCCTTCAATCCTCAGCAAAAGAGTTTTAACTACAATATTCAGAACTTGAAAAATAATTTTCTTTGGAGTAAACAGCAAAAGGGATGAGTAAAATTTGATTACAAAGTTACAAATAGACACCAGGTAAATTTGAAATAAGATTTGAGAATTAATTATAAAGAACCTTCCTATGGGAAAATACTTATGTTTTGAATTCTTTAAAAAAAAACTTTTAAAAAATGGATACCAGAGGGAACTAAAGATTATAAAGGGGAATACTCCAAGTCAACTCACAATTACAGAATTAAGAAAAATATCTTAACATTGGATATATTTAAGGATGTGGACCTAGAAATTAATTGTAAGATTGTCTGCCTCTATAGTCAGACTATATTTAAAATATAGTATGGAAGAGTAATAGGTTTTACATGACAAAAGTGAAACTGGTTTGAAAGTGGATTTAAAAACGATAAACTCCAAAAATGATGTAGAAATAAATGTTACTTGGATACACAAAAGAAACCAGCTGATGATCTAATAATTAAAAAGGATATACAAATAATCTAAAAGAGTGAAATGCATAAATTTCCTATACTTTGTTAATGTTTTGAAGAATTTTGAGAGAAGAGATAAAGAAAAAAATGAAAAATAAAAATCTAGGACATTTTCTGAATGAATAAAAGATGAAAATTGTTAAGAGTAAATGGAAGGAATGTACAGTTGCTTTAGTTGATCAAGGTTAAAATAGGTATGTAACCTCAGATAACACTTAATGGACTTTTGCTGATTCCAGGACTAAACTGATACAGTTTTGTTGATTGCTTACAAATATGAAAAATCAGATATGAGGAGATAATTTGCTGTATTTTAAGAGAAAGTGATAAATTACTAAAATTGTTTGTACTTGTGATGAAGGGAGAAGTCCCTTCTTTATATATTACCTTTCTTTACTATATTCTTTTTTCTATTTTTTCTGCATTTTATATTTTTTTATTTATATCATTTTCTTTTTAGTATTTTTTATTGTATTGTATTGTTTTATAGTATTGTTTTGTTTTATTTTTAATAAAATATTGTAATTTTTAATAAAAATTACAAAAGAAAAAAATTTAAAGAGTACCATTAGACATTAACATGCATAAACACAACTGAGAATTCAAATGGCATTAACGTACCTCATGTGGAACTTCTTGGAGACGATCCAGTGCTCTAATATGATCCAGTGTATCTATAGATGGAGAGAGACCTCCATGTAGACAGAAAATCTGTGAAAGTTTTGAAAACTAGTATTAGAATATCTTTTTTTTAATTATCAAGAACTAGAGGTAGCTGAACTTGTTTACTGAAAGTTATAGATGATTTTAAAAGGAAAACATCTGATTAAAATATATTGGAACATTCACCCTATTTTGTATTTTTGTTGCTATTAACAAGAAGTCATATTTTCAGCATACCTGTCCATCCACCAAAGCAGTAAGAGGAAGATAATCAAAAAGATCTGTGAAGTATTTCCAGACATTTGCATTTCCGTATTTCCTTAAACACTCATCATAGAAACCATATACTTGGGTGATCTGCCTGCTTTCATGGTTCCCTCGAAGGATTGTGATGCGTTCACGGTAACGGACCTATAAAACAACGTAGTTAGAGCAATTAAGAGTTTTTCATTTTACATTGCCTACCTTGACTTTTCCCCATCTCTATTAACATATATCTTCCCCTATCATAATCATTAGTTACAGGTGTATAGAGAAAATATAATTTTCTAAACATCTCTTGAAACCAAATTTTAAATATCTGTATTCCTCCTACCCCATTTTGTTTAGATTGATAGTATTGATATATAGGGGGGAAGCGGGAGAGACTACTGAATTTAAATTCAAGAGTAGAATCTTATCAATCTCTTTTCCATCTTATTAAAATGGAGATACAAACTAAAGAAACATGGAAGTTCTAACTACAGAAACATGGAAGTTTTAACTACAGAAACATGGAAGTTCTAACTACAGGTAGTCCTCAACTTACGACAATTGAGCCCAAAATTTCTGTTGCTAGGCTTGACAGTTGTTAAGTCAATTTTGCGCCATTTTATGACCTTTCTTCCCACAGCTGTTAAGTGAATCACTGTGGTTGTTAAGTTAGTAATACAGTTGTTAAATGAATCTGGTTTCCCCATTGACTTTACACGTCGAAGGTCGCAAAACGGGATCACATGACCCCCGGATACTGCCAAGCAGCTGAATTTTGATCACATGACCAAGTGTGAAAAAAATGGTCATAAGTCACTTTTTTCAATACTATTGTAAAATTGAACTGTCACTAAATGAATGGTTGTAAGTCAAGGACTACCTGTATATCTAAACATCTTATTTAGTATGTAGGAGTCTCTTTGAATTACACAATAATATAATTTTCTCCTGTACAATTATTTTGTGCAGAATTTTCAACAGCATTAAATCCTTACAATAATTCAGAATATAAACACAAAATAAAGTTCAAAATATTTGGAAGCAACCACAAAATTTTCTGTATGCTTGTTATTTCTAATGCCAACATGTTTTGAATGTATTTTTATTACCTTAAGCGCTACCAGAAGTGTTACTGTTTCAACAGAGTAGTATCCCCTATCAACGTAGTCCCCCATAAACAAATAATTTGTGTCTGGTGATTTGCCTCCAATTCTGAAAAGTTCCATGAGATCGTGAAATTGTCCATGGACATCTCCACAAACTGTTACTGGACATCTTACTTCTTGAACATTGGATTCTTTTGTTAAGATTTCTTTAGCCTGCAACAGAGCAAAAAAACAGCTTAACCTTAAGTAATTAATTAACATTTCAAAATGCGTAATAACGTATTTGACACAATAGCATATGTATTATTTATTTCTGCTTCTGAACAATATTTATCATACATACAAGCATAATTCATTTGGACTCCTAGCAGCAAAATACAAAAATCAAAACTAAAGAACAGCATAACATAAACATTATCCTTAAAATTTTCAAAGCCTTTCCCAAATTATTATAACGAGAGACAACACATAGGAGTATTGTACTAATGATAGATTTTAAATGTTTCTTTGGTTAGTTGAAATCTTAAAGTTCAGATGAAATGGATCCATCTAGATTTCTGTTCTAGAAGGTGGATATTACTGCTGAGAACATTGGACTAGAGAGAGTACCAGATATTTTCTGAACAAACAGAAGCCCAGTCTTGCTAGGATTCAATTTTATCCTACTTTTACCCCTATCCAAATTCTACAACTTCCAGCACCAGGTCAGATCTTACTCTGCACTTGAAATAGTCATACAGTGCATTCAGAAAGTATTCAGACCCCCTTCACTTTTGACAATTTTGGTATGCTGCAGCCTGATTCTACAGTTGTTGAAATTCATTTATTTCAAAACTGAAAGATTAAATTCCCCCAATGATTGCCAGTTAGTTATATTTCTGTAAGTAATAGGGTCTTATCTGCAGACAACCCTAGCCATACAGAAAAAAAGATATTAGCGTGCTCACCAACATTAGCGTGCTCACCAACTGCAAGACTTGTTCAAATCTCATGTGTCTGAATAACATTCAATTTCTTTCAGTTGATCTCTCCCCTCAAATATATGAAAATATTAAACCTACAGAAATAGCTGTTTATTAGAAAATGGAAGGCGATGCAATTTCAGAGAAATTAGCATAAATGTTTGTCCCAAATACATGTACTTTCTTGGCAAAATTAAATGGAACTTTTATCTTTCTGATGGAATAAAGCCTGGTGTATTTTAGATGAACATGTTCAAGTGTTTTGTGCAAACAATGGCTCAAAAAAAGGATGCACTTTTCTCATTATTATAAGCATCCATGACAAATCCATATAAGAAAGATATAGCACCCTATACATTTGCCCCTGGGAAGGAGAATTATGAAACAGTACTAAATATGGGAATCCTTCAACATATTTCAACATCTTTTCCCCAAAGCAACGTAGCTAGAGAATGGTAAAAGTATTACTGTGGTCAGAAGACAATACCTAAAATCCCCACTTCTCCACCTCAGCAGTCTTACCTATAAATAATAATAATTGCATGTGTTTTTATCATGTAAAAAAAAACTTCAGAAAGATGTAATGACTGCACTGTTACCTGACTTTGGTGGTATAGTCAATTTGATAAATTACATATAGACATTTCAAATGGTGTCTTCTTTTTAGAAGAGCTAGAAATGATTATCTCCAAGGAAAAGGCTACCTACAGTATCCATGTATAAAAGTTCTACTACCAAACAGTGAAACATCTTCTCTAAATAAATAATTCAAAAATCTTTCAGTTTGAAAATTACCAATTAAAAATCTGTTTGTTCCATAGTTCATAGTGAAACTTACATCAGAGAAAAGATGTACATGTTTGTTCTGTTTGCCTCAAATTATTCAGAAAGAGAACCAAAAGAGGAAAGCAGGCAAACTAAAAATAATCAGACATTGCCCATTTTACACTACTTTCATGAGTCCTAAAAAGTTCTGCAGCCAATCTTCCCCATCTGCATAACGTTTCATGTTTTTGCCACTGAATATTGCTACTCAACATTATCCTATATGAAGGAGACTTTGGGTTCAGTGTTATAGCTGAGGTTATTACTTGTGAAACCCCAAAACCGAGTGCTATTAATAGTGCTGAGAATAATAAGAGAAGTACTTTGAACCTTCTTTCTTTCTTCCTTTAAACACAGCCAATCCTGAAGAATATTATTATTGTGTGGGCTAGCTTGCACTTTAATTGGTAGGCAACACAAAAGTACAGTTTTTGTATTAAGTCTTACATTTAACAGCATCCAGAAAGCTTTGAGAACTAATGAAGTCCTTTTTAGAATAAGAAATATATACCATATGCACCTAAGACCAGACATCTCTACAAGCAGTCCCTTTTTAAAATGTGAAATCTGCTATTGTTTCATAGGCGTTATGGCTTAATTCAAAGCCATTTATCTTTCAAATAATGTTTTGCCAACAAATTAAAAAAATGAAAGCATTATTAAACACAAAGGTCATGTTAACCAATGTTAGCAGTTAAACAAAAATCAGTATTTACAGATCAAAGTAAAATAAATTACTTAAAATTGAGCCGCGCAAATGAAATTACTAACGTAACAATTAAGATCATTTTTTTAAGCTTAAAAAGCAAGCTGTTTGGATTTAACCAGCCCAATCAATAATAGTTTTGTTTAAAATGTAGAACAAGAGTGAAAGCAGAAATGTTTCAGCTTTCTCTTACGTGTTGCTTAGTTTTTCTCTATTCTAGCATGTAGTACATGACTGTATTCGAATAGAAAGAATCTTTTTAGGGCACAAAAACCGAGGGAGGCAATGGGCACCTTTAAAATTCTGCAAAATGCCATGACATTTTCACAATATGACTATCGTAGTCAGGTTACATGCATGGAGTACCTGAATACAAAATGATACAGCTACTCTCTGGGACTCTTTAGACCAGGGGTAGGCAACCTGGCTCTTTTATGACTCATGGACTTCAACTCCCAGAATTCCTGAGCCAGCCATGCTGGCTCAGGAATTCTGGGAGTTGAAGTCCACGAGTCATAAAAGAGCCCAGGTTGCCTACCCCTGCTTTAGACAAAGCATGGCTCATGGCAGTATTAATTATGACTCTGAAATCTATGGAAGCTACTGTAATACAAAGAAAATCTGCAGCATCCAGACCAATAAACATCTATTTAATTATAACCAGGTCACAATTTCTTATCAGCTTCATTTGAAGATCCGTATTTCCACTTGTGTAACAGAACCATGAGAAGATGAAAATAGAATATAGCTTAAGTAATAAAATAATGACGATCCAATAAATGAAAAATTCTTAAGAAGCAGCAGCAGCTAACACTGCATTGCCAAAACAAAATAGCACTTTGGAAGTTTTCAATTAAGAGACAAACATTAGCATGCATGCAAAGCTGTTCATGTATGTCTATACGTTCCCATAAATATCAAGTCTCAAATTAAATTCAGTGTTAGTTTTAAATATGATTGAGTATCTAAAAATCAAGTGAATCATTCTTTGTTTAATATTACTAGGTATTACATTTCAAATAATTTTCTACAAGAGTTATTTTGCCAACACCAGATGTCTTAAATACTGGCAGAAACTGATTTTTTTTAAAAGCTCATCAATGGTCTACTATATTGTTTGATTATACTCAATGCTCTACCTATGATAGAAAGGTAGCAAATGCTATACCTGGATTAAATTGCCTCAATATAAATACTATTGGTTTTCTAAAACTTTAAAAAATGGCATATGTACAAGAAAGCAAGTTCAGAAAAGCCAGACTCTGAATAAAAATTCATATTTGCAGCAATCTAAAGATAGGCGTTTCCCCAAATGTTTTTAATCTACAGGTAGTCTTCACCTGTAACGACTGGCAATTCCATTACTAAACAAGACAGTCATTAAGTGAATTGTCAAGTGACTGCTCTGCTTCCTGATGGCATTTCTGACAATCCCAGTTGTTGATGAATGAATCCTACCTGATCATTAGGCAAGAAGCTAGCTGGATTCAAGCCACTCTCGGGAGAAGGTAACAATTGCTTCTATTTCAACTCCTTCCATCCACCTATCTTCCCCCATACTCTTAATACCACCTGGGGCATAATTTTATGCTAGTGCAGCTTGGGTCTGATTTCTTGGGCCATCCAGGTCCTTCTTTTATGACAGAAGGAGCCAGGAGAGCTATGAAAGGCCAATAAGGGGGGAAAGGGCCCAGCTGCGCAAAAGGGTCTTTTTTTCACACGCTGACCTTCTTTCCCCCCAACCCGTACAAGTCCTTCTTTTGTAAAACCCCTGGCCAGCTTCCAAGAGAAGGCCCGGCTGCATCTCTGGAAAAGAAGGCCTAGGCCAGTACAGTAGTAGCATACAGGTGGTAGGCAGGGCCAGGCAATGGGAGCAGCTGGTGGCAGTGAGTAAGCAGTAGCCGAAAGGGAGTTGTAAATATGGGTGGGCCCAAATGTTCTTCACTGATTACAATACAACAACCAGAATTTCAAGAACTTGTCATAAGTCCTTCATCATAACTTCAAATGGTCATACAATCTTCATTTACAATGTTATGTGACAGTTTCCCAGCCAGTCTTGCAATCTCTCAGTTCCTCCTCCACCTAGCAACACATAGCTGTGGGAAGGGAAGGGCCCTCACATACCATTCTTGGCCCATACCATCCCTAGCACACTTTTCCTGATCTGTGCCACTCATCGATTCCCTGACCTGTGCCGCCCGCCCACCTTCTCAAAACCACACAGCACCTCTTATATACCCCCATGAACCTTCCCTAACTTGCATGGCCCCTCTTGCATGGCCTCATGTACCTTTTCCTACCCACATTGCTTCCCCATGCTGACTTTCACACAACCCCCAGCTACCCTTTGCGACCCACACTATTCTACTGCTGTGCCCTTCCCAATCCATTTGGTGTCTCTGGCGCACAGCCACAAACCCTTCTCAATCCCTACAGGACCTCTCACACACCCAGATGTGAGATTTTATGATAGTCTGCCTCTTAAAAGCATTAAATCAAGACCTTGCGTAGTTTACTTTGAACAGAATGAACAAATTCAATTTTAAGCTAGAAGACAGAAACATTTGTGCCAACACAACCCCTGCAAATGCCTTCTCAGTAGGACCCACAATCATAAAAACTGGATTGTGAGTAGGGCTTTTTGGTATCCTTCCACTCCAGGCATTATGCTGAATATAAGCAAGAGGCTTGCAGAAGAACTAGATATCAAAATAAAG